GCAAAAAAGAGCAAGTGGAGAGTCCAGAGGGAAAGGCAGGGAGAGGAGGAGAAAGGGAGAGGACAGAGAGCTGTGTAAGAATGACTGGTCCAGTCCGTCACAAACACCATGCCCAGGGCTGTCTGCGCTGGCAGTGTTCTGGGTGGCCCAGTGGAGATGAGAAGGGCAGAATGGCCAATAGAGGCATCAGCACAGCCCAGCAGTGAGAGAACTCTGAGATCAGCTCTGTGTCTACCAGTCTGTCTATTCATGTGTCTCCCTCAATGCTGTCTGTCTGAGCACATGGGGGATGACATCTGCCCTAAAAATACACAGGAGCTTCTTGTTTAGTTTTCTGACTAAGGTTATTGCCTTAATTGGTCTTCATCTCCAGGTCCCATTTTCCAAACCTCTATGAAACCTGAAGACCAGGGTTTATCATTGCTGATACACAGTATCAGTCTGTCTACTGTATCTGTCCAGGGCAGAGCACTATAACAAATGGCTAAATCATCACCAATAGTGCTGCAGGTAAGAGACCCATATAGGTATGAGAGAGTTTATACATGTTTGTGGGGATCTCCATGCCTGTGTATCTGTCTCTGGGCAGGCTACAATGCAGTTAATAACAGCAGGGCTCAGAGTTCAACAAGGGGTGTTCTGAGGTCAGTGTTTACTCTGTGTCATCACCACACACTGCCAGACACTCCTTCACCACTGCCAACACTAATGGCCTTGTAACAGACAGACTACCTACATACAGCACCCAGGCATATTCACCAAAATACAAGGATTGCCTTGATACAGACAGGCGCCCCACCAGACAGACAGTAAGATACTAAGTGTATTCTTCATATAGACTGACATACCATCCAGAGAGACATACTGGTGTATATTCTCTCTGTCTGACACAGTGACATTAACCCTTGGGTTGTCTGTATATCATCTTGAGGAGACAGACAGACAGGACAGACAGCTAGCTGTAGACCATAAGCAGAAGAGAGGTACGAAGTGTGCAGATACTATCTCACAGTCATAGGAACAGACGGATAAGGCCAGGGCCACGATCTTTCTGCATATACCAGGCCAAAGAAACAGAGAGCGAGAAAGAGACAGAGAGAGAAAGGAGGCAGAGACAAACACAAACAGGAATTTGTGTGCCCATGGACAGTGTCTGACTGCCCACTTGAAGAAAGGCAGGAGGACAGAGGCTAAACCGTAGGGTCCATCTGTCCACAAATACCAAGATGGACAGAGGATTTCCTGTCCACAGCTGATGTGGGTGCAGTCAGACAGGTAGAGAGATAGACAGGGCCAGCTGATGGTGGCCAAAACTGTGGACCTACCCATTAAGGGGGGGAAAGGGGAACTATTGAACTGAGAGCACAGAACTGGCAAGAGTGCACTCTCCTGGACACCGCCACCTTGATGAAGTGTCAGAGCAGAATGGGGACAGACACAGTGCATCTGCTTTTGCCTGAGACCCTGGGCCACAACCCTGACAAGAACTGCTGAAGGTGCTACAGCAGTAACTGAAATAGCTGAGCCTGAATTCCCCTACCTGTGGTTGGCTTGGTTTGCGAGATGAGCTATACATCAGCGCCTGCTCCTGCGAGGTCACTACAACTGGGCACTACACAGTCCTGCCGCTCGCTGAAGGTTTCATTTCTTGCTAAGGTAACTCTGTCTGAACCTGAGTCTGAGCCAAGGCTGGGGCAGGAGACGAGATCCTTCCTTAACCTGTGCCTCTCAGATTCGTTAAAAGGGAATGGGACTTGGAGCTGGGAATTCATAATCCGGGAAATATGCAGGTGCTGGCCTGGGAGTTAGAAGGGTGGTGAAACAGATGGCCAGCTGCACTGGGGGGGTTTGGGAGGCCAATTAGAGATACTCACAGGACGACCTCCACGTGATCCAGCGCCCACTGGTCATGGCCTGCGCCGTCGTGACGAGGCTGCCACCATCGCAGCTCCACCCCTTTCACCCGCGCCTCGCTGCAGGGAGAGGGGCAGGTGGGGAGAGAGAGGGGGCAGGTGGGGAGAGGGGATTGAATTGGAGAGAAGGGACACAAGTGGCATGATGA